TACATTGTGGGACTAAGCTTATTGTTACAGTTCCATTTGAAATTTTGGAATCTCTTGTACTTCTTAGCAAACAAAAGAGGTATGAAATTGAAGTTGATTTTGAAGTTATTTATGAATTAAAAATATTTATTCAAAAAGGTACTGATCTTTTATATTACTTTTGGTTTGATATTGGTAATGCACGGTTCTTGATATCACCATGTAAATCCACTTGTCTTTATCTTCGATTTGTTTCTTGTCCTTTTTTTTTTAATACAATCGTGTTTGGCCATCTTAACTTGACAAATTCACTATCAAACACAAGTGTGTTTCTTGAGGCGCCCATAGACCCTTATGTCAAATTTGTGTGATTGTGGAGTGTTGATTCGATGCAAAGAAGTGCTGAATTTGGTTTAATGAATGATTTCTTAATCAAGGTTTTTAGCATAACATCAGCTTTTTTATTCATCATTGAAAAAAAAAATTGAGTCATCCATTGGTTTGAGGGAATCAGTCTTTTGTTATATTTCATGATTCGAACCACAATCTTTTGTTACGTATTATTTTTATCATCCACAAGTATTGTGTATAAACTTAGTTATATCAACTAAAGACGGTGAAATTGCAAGGTGCTATGAACTGTGAGGTAAATTTTCTAGAATTTCTAGAATTCTTGTTTATTTTTTGATTTATAAGGCCAGAATGTAATATATTTGATGGATTAACAATATTTGATACACTGTAGGTTCTAGGAAGAAAAAATAATAAATAAAGTAATTGATGGAGAATTAAGGTCAGTCACCAATCACCATTTTTAGGACCTTTGGTTTAAGGCCAAACATAGAAAAAGGTTTGGGGTGGGTTAGAGGTGTGGTAAGTTAGAAACTTAGAGTTTGGGTTTGAAATTGGTACTGTGGTGAGGTTGTGAATTGTAACTTGGTTATATAATTTCCGAGAAGGAGAAAAAAAATGATTCTAGGAAAACACGTAGAATCTTAAGCTTCATCCTTGCAATGATGAAGCAAACATCATGCCAACATTATCTCTTTATTTGAATAATTCCTTTTCGACATCTGGTCTTGAGGACATTTCCTGTTTTGTATGGTGTCATGTATTTTCTCAGTACACTGCCCATTAAACTCCATCACATCTGGCTTTGAGTTCTTATTTTGGGTTTAAATTTAATCTTACCTCATCTGATATTGTAATGATAGGTCCTAATGAAGATGATATGATTTACTTTTTCTCATTAATCTTTTGAACATATTCTCCAGGACCCAATTCCAGTGTTTGAATATTCAACAATGTGTAAGTTTCCATGATTATACGAAGTTTCTTGGTACGATATAGCAAACTTTCTTGGTTATAGAATGTTTCTTGATATACGAGTATAGCAAAGCGATTTTTTTTTCCTGTTTTTGTTGGTATGATGCTATTGTTAACAGGATAATTTTGTTTTCTCTACTAATTATCTGCATTAAATTTAGCATTCATGGCACGACTGATGTACATCTGATGCAGTGTGAATGTGGAAATCGATGACCCAGCACCCTCTCATAGGGAGGCTGCCACTGCTAGCATAGTAGCTGATGTTCACTATAAGACTTGCAACTGTCTCCTGGGTAAGGTATGTTAGTTGAAAATGCATAAACAAATGGCTGCAGTAGAAACAGTTACATGGACATCAAGTGAAGGACTCTTCTCGATTTTTTATTGAACATTCCGTTTACAAGCACAAAATTCATTTTCATTCCAATTATTTTTGTTTCTGGCTGTGTTTTTGGTGATATACCTATTGTCTCATTACTCTCTCAAGTGTGATAAGTTGCAGCCTTATGTATGATATTTGATGGATTAACAACCTTAATTTGTTGGATCCATGATTTGATGTAGGCCTTCTTACTGTCACTAGGTAATAGAGAAGTGGCCCCGGGCGAATATTAAACTCTTAGTCCATACTGCTCCCAGGTGTCTTGCAGTTAACTTATTTCTATTTGTATTTTCATATCAGCTCTAATATGTTGCTATGTGGTATATGAAATTGTACTGAATAATTAAGAGAGGAGTTCCCTTATGAACCTTCTTCTTTATTATGTTGTACTTAGCTCTTGTTTAGAATGGGGATGCACATACCCCTTGCTGGAAGAGGCTGGTTTTGAGATTTGGGTTGTTGATGTTCTTGGATGGTGTTTCTCTGATTTAGGTTTTTCCCTAATTTTAATCTGCTCTTTAAATACGATAATTCCAGCTTTACTTTCCCCTTTTTCGATGTGCTTTATTTTGGTCCACGTCTTTTGTTGTTGTATCTCACTTTATTTCACTTTACTAAAGACTTCCCTAGTTTAATGCCGCATCAATGCAATATCATTTGTACCTGGTATTTTCATATATCTCTGTAGTCCTGTTCAATTGCATTTCATTTTTCTATCACTTGGCTTCATTCACAGTGGCAGGACTTCACTTTATGTTCCTTGTAGCTATATTAGTATTCAACCCTCACTGTTTGAATTTCTAAGTTGGATTATTTTCATTTATATGACAGCTTTGGAAGTCTAACATAAGAAGGCCGATGATACTAGTTGGACCAAGTCTTGGTGCTGCTGTTGCAATTGATTTTGCACTCAATATTCCGGATGCTGTAAGAATTTCATTCAAGCTAGTGTCGCATTAATTGCAGTTAATTCAAGTTTAATTCTGAAATACAACCCCACATCCCAAATATATGTTGTTGGTGAAGTTCTTGTGTTAGCTGTTGCAGATGCTTCCTAGCAGTAATTCCCATCAGGATTGAAAAACTCAAGGTGATTTGAGCACAATATGAAGTAATGTGGATCCAAGCAATGTCTCACAGGAAGTTATTGGAAAAGTTTTGAGTGATCGAATTGATTCTTTGTCCTTGCCCTTTCAAATGAAGAGCCTTTTGAATTCTAAATAATACAGGATTCACAAACATTGTAGCACCCTTTTTGTCAGAGAAGTTGGCTATCCCTCTCCAGTTTGAAGAGTGTTGAGAGGGGTTGAAAGCACACCTGCCTCTAATTTATAAAGTAGAATGTCAATTGAGAGCAGTCTGCCCTACAGTCTGCAAACTGTGCTGGACAAAGAGTAACTATGGTCGCTAAAGATCAATAATTCACTGTTTTAGTACAATCCTTAAACTAAAACTAATTACTAGAATATCATGCATGCCATAAATGACTTGTTTGTTTCCTTCACACCATAGTAATCTGTTTTTTCCAGATTGACACAATTTGGTTGTTAGTCCGAATTTGTTGTTGGTGCATCTATTCTAATTGCAGTTGCAGAACTCAAAAACAGTGAGATTGTAGTTTCATGGTTCCCTCAAGATGAAGCTCTCTGAGATTTAGCACGGTGCATGCAGTGACACTTCATTTCATGCCGACATGTATTTATGTTTTTGAATTTAAGGTTTTATGTGGATAAATTGTGTAGAGTTTAACTTTCTGGAATTACATAAAGTTTTTGTGAATTGACAAACTATAGTCAATGTGGATTGTATGATTTAATTTCATAGATTTTATTTGGAAAGTAAACCAATAAAATAAAATATAAAAATGGCTTAAACGCCAAAAGAGTGTGGGCATAGTGATGGCTCTTTGCTGGTGTTTATTTAAACGCCAACATATATCTTTCTGGCCACCAGAGTCTAGCAGTAGTGTCGGCATTTGTTTTCCATCAAAAAATGCATTAGGGTACATTACTCAAACGCCGAGTATTAGAATTGCCATTATTTATATTGTTTTTGCCAGCGTTTACTATTTTAATTTTTTTTTGTAGTTACAAATATAATAACACACGTACAAATTAACGCACCCACCCACACAAACTAGTGTTTAGTGTGTATTAGTTTGTGTTTAGTTATATTTTCGCATTTTTTTGTGTGTATTTTTTTTATCTATTATTATGTATCTCTGTGTTTCGGTTTTTTAGTGTGAGTTTTTTGGTGTATTAAAGTGTATGTATTTTTGTGTATTAGTGCGCGTATGTGTTTGGTGTACTAGTGTGTGCGTGTGTGGTGCATTAGTGCGAGTGTTTTGGTGTATCAATATGTGTGTTTTCGTGCATTTACATATTTGTGTGTTTTGGTGTACTATGATGCGTCTGTGTGTTTTGGTGTATTAATGTGTGATGTGTGTATTTTTGATGCATTAGTGTGTTTTGATGTATTTGCATATTTTGTTTATTTGTGTGTGCTTTGGTGTTTGGAGTGTGTGTTTGTTTTATTGTAATAATGTGTGTTTTTAGTGTATTATTGGATGTGTGTTGGTGTATTAGTTTGTGGGTGTGTGTGTATTATAGTTGTATTAGTGTATGTGTGCATGTGTGTTTTGACATATTAGTGTGTGTATTTTTTTGGTGTATTAAGTGTATTTTTTTGGAGTATTAATGTGTGTTTTTTGGGTATTGATTTATGCATCTTTTGTGTGTTAGTGTATGTTTGTGTTTTGGTGTATTAATGTGTGGTTGTGTGCGTGTTTTGGAATATTAGTTTATGTGTGTGTGTGATCGTTTTATTTTTAGGCTCGTATTCTCTTAAATAGTCTTAAGACACCTTCTGAAGTTGTCTCTCTCTCTCTCTTGAAAATGGAAGTAATTGAAATTTTTGTAGCCTTAGGTAAGTTTGTCACAAATTTCACTCGAATGCCATTTCGCCCGAATAAGAATGTATATTTCCATGTGTGTCAATATGCCTGATGATTTGTAATGGTCTTTGAGCTGTAGGTTATGATTTATTTTTGGGATCAATTGTTGTGTTTTATGTATTCATGGTTCCATACACAAAGGTTGGAAAGCTTCAATGTTCTGGTAGACATGCACTTTCTCTCAACAGTTCTACAACAACCCTGTCATGCCCCAAATTCACATCATATGATATGTTTGCTTGAATGATAAACCTTTTGCTTCACCTAGCTAGATTAATTGCCACCAACGTTCAACAAAGAGAAGGACAATTATCAATGCTTTGGTGTGTACGTGGCTCATGTAAGACTTGATATTAACTACTGATTGAATTAAAAGGCCTCCTAGATTTGTGTGCATTACATAAGAGAGCCACAAAAGACTTCTGTGTTCATTACTTAAAGAGAGCCGGAAAGACTCTAGTTCTTTCTTGGTTAATTATCTTATTGCTTATGCTTTGTGGGAAAACCTTTTTGCTTTGACCGAGTTAAGTTGGCCTGCTTCACAAGATATAAATTTTATGCATGGAATGGGTATCTCATGCTGGATATTTAGTATTATCAAATTCAATCGGAATCCTCTTCTGTAGATTTAAGGAGGTCTTTTTCTCGGTTAAGCATTTGATTACCACCTCAGAAACTTTTTACTCCTCTTTAAATGATTTTGGTTGGTTTAGGTTTTCTCTTTGCTATTTCAATTCTTTTCTCATTCTTTCTTGTGGTTTAGGAGAGATTTCAGACCCCTTGAGATGTTACCATTTGCCATCTTGTATTATTCTTGATATTATTATTTTAGTTCAAGAATGAGAATCTTGCCGTACTTATTTCTGTATTTTGATATCCCTAAGTATTTTTATGGATAGAATTACTGATGCGAAGTTACGTTTTATTTGAGAAGATTAGAAATAAGTTTGGCAATCAAGGTTCAATTTCACATGCTGTTCTACTGCACACATCCTCTTCCCAATATACCGACACTCGGATTAGGTAATTATTTTCAGCAGTTTAACTCTGGAAATACTCTCTACAAATGCTTGTTGACCTTTTATTCCAAATGTAGCTGCTATTTATTATGGCTTCTATGAACAATACCATGTCTTTTGTACGAGATGCTATTCCATTACCCTTATACAGAATTCCTTTTGCTTCACGCACTAATTTTTTCTTCATGTTAGTTCACTCATGGATTTCAGTACCATGAGGATGAGGAAAGTGTTTTTTGCTTAAAAGCATGTCATAACGCTCACTATGGATTTCTATTACGTCGCATTTTCATTGTGCTACTTGGGATTGAACTGTGGATCCTTATTGTTTTGAGTCATAGCGGTTCTTTTTGGATGAATATGTAGATTGACAATTCTTTGTGTTTATTTGGTTGACGGCTTGATGGATAATACAAATAACATGGTCGGGTGGTGATTGATAAATTGCATTTGCCAACTAATGGGCCACTTTGGCTACTTGTTGTTGATTCTATGAATTTGGTTTGCTGAAACGGTAGTGGCTGAAGCTACATTATGAAAACCCTTTTTATCTTTCTTTTTCTTACTCGTTTTTTATTCATCGATGGAGTTAGGTATAGTGAAGGGTGAAATATGCTGACATGATTTCCATTAGTGAAATAGAGGAGTTGTAGGACTAGAATTAACTGGCAATGAGGCATTGAAAAAGAATATGGTCACTTGTATTTTAGCATAATAAATGGCCCCCGACAAAACTAAAGTGGTGAAAATAAAAGATTCATGCATGTGTGTATTTTGCATTCATTGAAATTTTTGCAGCTTTAGGGCAAGTTATCGCAAATTTCACTTGAATGCCATTGGAGTAATTCTATCTTGTATTCTTATATGTGGTAGGTTATGTTTTGCTTTTGGGATCAATTGCTTCGTCTTATGTATTCATGGTACCGCATACAAAAGGTTGAAGAAAGCTTCAATGTTCACGTACACAGTCACTTTTTATCTCACCAGTCAAATCTTTAGATTTTCTTTTTCTTGGAATTTTCTTGGTAACCAAAATGTGCATTCCATTGTGCTTAGTAATTGAAACATTGAATCTTTGTTTTTACATTGTTCAAGTGCTCCAAAAAGCAGGAAAAAAACGCCTATTACATTGTGGGACTGAGCTTATTGTTAAAGTTCCAATTTGAAAAATTGAGATTCTCTTGTACGTCCGGGCAAACAAAATGAGGGTATGAAAATTGAAGTTGGGTTTTGAAGTTATTTTATGAATGAGAAATATTTATTCAAATGGTACTGATCTTTTCTATTACTTTGGGTTTGTATTGGGTACTTTATATCATCACGTAAATCCATTTGTCTCTTACTTCGATTTGTTTTGGATTAAAGTTTTTTTGATACTGGGCCTAATTTCTTTGTGTGACATTTGGAGTTCCCGGAGTTGTTCCTCCCATTTTCTTTGGCATGTTTTATTGTTTTGGTAGTTTTATTTTGGTTTTCATTATATTTTGTTGTAGTCTTTCTCTATGATCTTAGGATCTACCACTAATTATATCTCTAGATTATCTGTGTCCATTTTGAGATACTGAAAACATGTGTCAGGACTCTAGGAATTAAATAGATCAGTGGATGTAATCATCATAATGCATTGTTTCAATTAGGTTTTGCTGACTTCCAATTAAGCTATTTAAATTCTTGCAGGTGCATGGTTGTATTAATTTTGGCATCGCTAATTGTAGTATGAATGAAATTGTTACGCTTGCCAAAGTTTGAAAGTCTTGTCGTGGGTTAGTTCATTATAAACTCTTTCGTTTCAAAGCTTGACAGTCTGGACTTCGGATCAAAGTTCATTATAAACTTGTTCCTTTTTCAATGGTGGAACTTCGGATCAAGCTCTTGCAGTTGACCTCCAACGCTCGATTCAGGTAATCTCTTGCTGTCTGGTTTTGGAGTTGATTGTATGCTTCTAATGAATCCAT